AAGATTTTGTGGTAAAAATAAAATAGTAAAGTTTACAAATCAACGGATAAAGGTACTTTAAAAACTGATGTAATTAAAATGGCAGTATAAGCAGGAAATTTTACTGCATTTACTTTTACAAAAGGCTGTTGTACTTACGTATAGAAGATGATTCTTGCAAAGTTATTCCCCGAAATTAAATCTCGAAATCATAACATATTATTATATTTTCTTGGTATTTAAATATATACATTGACATCTACAAGGGTATTGTTGGATCTATGTAAATATTTATTGCAAAAACAGACTGTCAAAAGGAGGTTTTATATTACGCTATATCTTTGCCAACATAAACTTCAAAGGTTAATTTCATTAGGTAAAATTGTACTTACAAATAATATAATCAGTTCCCAATGTTTTTTTCTTTTTCTGCACTTCCTACTTTTTCAAAAACTTAGTTGTATCTTAACGTAAACTGAAACTTTAGTTGTCAGTAGAACATATATTATAAGTAATATCATTTAAGATACCTACATACTTTGTAGCATTGTAAGTAGGTACCTTTAAAACTTTAACCTTTTCTTCCAATTTACTCCCTTCAATTACGTGTTCCTTATACAAATGAACTGTTATCACATAACTATGAGCTGAATTGGAACTTCTGTATCCTAACATAAAGTTCAAATATTATGATACGCTAGTATCGTTTGTTACGTTTATATTTCTAGAACAATAATAACGACTGGATAAGGCCATTCCGCAGAAAGACTCCAACTTCCAAGAAGTTTCCGAATGAGTAGGTTAACGTTACGGTTCCTTTGAACGATTATTGCGTAATCTTACAAACAAATGTTTGGAGAGATTATAGACACCAACTTACCAACCAACTCGTTGTCACTTGGGTACTTCATGTAACATGTACTACACATAGTATTAAATAAAGTAATTTTGTATTCTGAAACTCAAAATTAAATTTTCGATTTTAAAAATTCTTTCACCTGTCGAAATATACATTATATGAGACTAACATAACATTTGACATGAGCAATGCCACGGGATACGGTTGAATTATTTTTTTTATACATTTTAATGGAGTCGTAAAATATTATGGATGTTCAGTTAATTTTAATAGCAGATATGTTAATGACAAACAAGACGCTTGTCCGGCGTTCTCAAGTAGGCCAGGAGTACCATGGCCGGCGGAGTCAATGACCGGACCCCCCGGGCCCTTCGCCTCCGCTTCTAGACCCTGTATAACATTTCTCTTCATTGGTGCATAGTACGAACTACCAGCGCGAGCAGTCTCACTAGATCAAACAACTTGTTTTATCACAAGGTTTTTGTACAAGACATTTGTAGAGCACTTTCGAAGTGCTTTACAAAAGATATCTCACTGCGCCAGTCATTATGAGGTTGCCATTAAAATGATGTGTGTTGAAGCGAATATATTCATGTTTATAATTTTGTATTAATTAATAAAAACAAACGAGCAATTATATTGGACAGGTAGGTAATATGCGAATTTCTATTGCATAGTTGGTGAAAGTTAGACCTTCCCACCCGGATGATAAGTGTTTATTCTTCTTTGGGATCACAGCTTGGACGTTGCGTAGAGAGTTTGAAATGTGCTTTTACGGTCACGTAACGTTTTTGTGAACTGGCCACAAAAGACTTTATTCTCTCCATTGTTGGGATGAGTCTCAGAGATTCTCAACTATATGATTGAATAACATAAAAATAGAATAACAGTTTATAAATCGATCTTTTTAAACTGAATACAACGATTAAATAGTACCTTTAGGATCACTGATCTCAAGCGAGGTTAATCATGTTATCTCGTAGATTGCCCAACAGCGAACAGCGGATCTTCGATGACGCTGAACGTTTATTGTTCATTTCCTCTTAATTTAACTAAGCTATTGGCCTTTGTCGGTTATCATAGGTACCTATAATATGCATCTACATAAAATAAAATACTTTTAATATAGTCTAATATTTCTCAAATCTTCTCTTATTAATTATGAATTACTGAATTAACGCATGCTAATTGATGTAAATTCTATTTATATAATATACCGATTGTTTCCTGCGCCACAATCCTCATCGAACCGTATCTTTTATTCCCGTGGTATAAATCTGTTTATATAAAATCTTGTCTTCTTTCCCCGTTTCAGCAGAATAACAATTTTTGTTATCAGTTACTGAAGCGATAAATCTCGGCAGTAATTTTGTTAACATGACCAACACCAAAATTATTATAACTTAATTTAGGTATAAACGTCAGGCACAGATATTAGGTAGCTGCCGCCTGCCATATGCCTCCACTTTCACGAATGACCTATCACGAGCACTGGTCAAGTATTATTGCAAATTGAGGCGGAAATCTTTTAGACACAGTGTACAGCAATTTACTGAACATAAGCCAGAGAAATATATAACACAGCATTACAACGTTTTCGACGTAGGTAAATTGTATGGGTAGATATTTTTATATTATTGAGAGTAGTAAACATATGTAGCGACAGTCTACCATGAAAATTAATAATTATTATAAATAAACCACTATTAGCATACAAATAAGTATATATAAAAGATATACTATTTCCTCATCGTTATAGTAGTAATAGGTACAATCTACTCGTATATTGACATCAAATTTAATTAAGAGGCGTTTATTCATGAAAAGGTAAAACACAAAACGAAAACGAATATCATGCCAGAATGAATTAGATTATTTGCATGTATGTATGTAGCAGAATCAACTTGCTTCACGATCCAATCCAAACTGCATAATATTTATAATATAAATGTAAATTAATAAAATAAATTGATGATACTTAATATATTTATTTACACAAAACGAACTCAGAAACTTTTTAGTGTCTATTAATTAGTATTGGTGAAATGCGCTTGTGTTGTGATGAAACTTACGCTTCTGCTCACCTATGACTATACTTTCACCGCGAGAATAGTTCGTCTCTAAACTGAACATTGACTGACATACTTCACATCATTGTATGAAGACAAGATGCTAATACCACGACAATAAGATTGAATTACGTAGGTACAAACTGTATGTTCTGATCGTAGCAATGAAATGAAAAACAAATACGTTAACGAATATTCGAAATCATATCTATTAATGATAATGATGCAACAGTATAGTGCAGTGACAGGCTAATGTTATAGGAGAACGAAATAGAATGATTAAATTATTTTGTGAGAATGCTACGATCTATGTAAATCGTCATTTCTTTTCAAGATTCCTGAAATATGGTTACTATATATGATTGTTTAAAATATATAAAAAAATACAAAGAAATAATTTTCACATCCTATCAAGATTCTATTTTATGCAGTCCATTTGCAATTCCGTTTACATTATATATAAGTCAGTCACCATATATAAGTCAACGATTCGTTCGATTCATTGTCAAGGAAGTAGCCGCATAAGACTAATGAATCATTAGTCATCGACACTAGGTTATATTGATCTGCACAGGACTGACAAAATGTAAGAGCACGGAAGTGATGTGAAACTTATATAAGGTTAAATAACAAAGCAAAACTAAATTTAGAAATTATTAAGTATTAAATCTATAACATACGGCTATGTACAAAGCATACCTCTCTTAAAAAAAGATAAAATTTGAATTTTTGACATTTATAATTAAATAAAATTATGTATAATATTAAGACTAGGATTGGCACCTATGCTGTTTAAAACAATTTCTCCCCGAGCTAAAATTGCTCGTAAAAAAAATTAAAAACCTGACGTTCCATGACGTGACTCCCGGCCGGATGACTCAATGATCCCACGCTACCTGACACCCCTGTGTGGGCTTTATTACTTCAGCCAGTAATTTAAACTCCTATGTCCATACAGGTAGACAGTAGGTAATATATAAATGGAGACTGCGGTTTCCGCACTCGTAAACATCCCGTCGACTTCAGATAAATCAGTTTCACGATAGAAAGACAAAGTTAGTCGTAGGTAATGAGTATTATACTGAGCCGAAAGCCAGGTAAAATAATTATCGAACTGAATCATTTTCACCAAGAAATAAGTCCAAATATCAAAATACATTTTGTATGTTTTGTCAATCAATTGACGTGTATAAAGGTTATTTAAATTTACTTTTTGATAATAATAATATATTGTGGCATCAATCATCTATTTTTTTTCTAATGTAATGTTAGTAAATAACATAATGCAACAATTGTTACACGTAGTTGTTAAGCTAGCTCTCCTAACCTATCAAGCTATCAAATATACCAACAAAGTGTTATTATATTCAGAATGTATAGTTTGCTTTTATGGGACAATTGTTCAGTTCCATGAACACTATCATTATCTTTTGGTATGTCCTTTACATACCCTTGTATATTATATAGCTTTCATTGCTTTTTATTTTAAGAAATGCTAATACTGCCTGTACCAAGAGTAGACGGCTAATAAAGCATAAAGTCATAAGATCATCGCAGTGAATTTATCAGTAGTTAATCACTATGGTTTCAGGTTGGACCGCGTGTAGGTCGATCTGACAGAGTAATATATCAATTTTCGATTGCTTTTATCTATATTGCATTTAATATACGGTACTTATTGGGATCAAGCCCTCCACAATGGTGAAGTACAAGGGTAGATAAGAATCAATTCAAAAGCAATATTTTATATAATACATTTCAACCGTTCGGTTTAAGTAAGCATATATGTACATAGGTACAAAATTTTTTAGTAAGTTGCGTAGATATCTATCTAGTACTCGTAGTAAATATATAGTATATAAAGGTTCGTTTATAACAAATCTACGAGTAAATGTTTGGTGTTTTTTACTGTTTTTACTATTTTTACTTTGAATAATTCTGAAGGGTAGTAGTTTTTACTTATATACGGTAATTAATGCAGAAGTTGTTAATATAAAGGTATTATATCTTAAGATACATATTAAATTAATGAAGAATAGAATTTACTAGTATGTACTATTACGAAATTATAATAATATATTATTTTATTACAGTCAACGCACCCGTTCGTATGAATCGGACGACCATGAAAGAGGGGCCTGCGAGTGGTGCGAATATGCGCTGGTCATTACGCTGGCCACCATCTTGCTCATCGGCGTGTCCGCCCTCACCATCTTCTGGGTGTTCTACTACCGCGGCGGTTATGCTTGGGCGGACGAGAACCCTGCCAAGCAGTTCAATTTGCATCCAACACTTATGGTGGGCGGATTCATCACCTTCAGTGGATTTTGTAAGTTGCTAAATTCAATATTTTAGTAATAATAACAGGAATATTAAGGAATAACATACATTTACCACATTTATCATAACTAGTATTGTTGTTATAGATATCATATATGTAAGCATTTTTTATACAAAATAAAGCCTGCAACATTCCATAATTTTTAAAATCATAGTAGTAGAAGATAAAAAATAAAATTGATATCCGATACTCAGCTACCTACTTGAACAGTGACTGAAAAGCTTACATTCTCTACTTGTAATCGTACACATGAACGGTTTTTAAAATACTGAAAATATACCTACTTATTTATAGTTATTAATGTAAATTTGACTCTATTTTCCGTAATCAGCCTATCATCTGGGCCGTTGTATGTGTAGAGCCGAGACTACTATAGTAGCCAACCAAACTCCTCCCAAAAGCGCAGAAGTCTCCTAATGGCTTCACAGACTTCACGGAGCGACCTATAACAATCCAAATTTGATATATTTTTACTTTATTTTTCTTTAAATGTATATAATTTTATTATTATATATAGTAATTTGTTGTAGATGTCAACAAATTTTACAAAAGTACCTTACCTTACATTACAGCGGTGTTGCTGTACCGTATCTGCCGATGCTTCAGACGCATCTACGTGAAGCTGTTGCACGCGATCTTCCATGCGTTAGCCTTCCCCTGCATCGTGATTGGATTCCTCGCCGTGTTCGATTACCACAACAAATCCGGGATCAACAATTTTTACTCGCTACACAGCTGGATTGGCTTGGTTGCTATGGGACTGTTTGGAATTCAGGTATGTACATAAGTTGACATATGAGAATAACGTTAATTTATTCGCGACTGTAGTATATATATATGTATATATAATTTGCAAAAGGGTTGTTGGGTAATAGTCTCCTCCATCCTCCACCAAACCTTTGTTTCCATGGCGGTCTGCATCCATATATACCTATCTATGTATGTACGAGAATTTAATAAACTTACTGTTTTTGTCGTTGATGACAATTGTTTCGTTTTCATTTCACACTGAATTAAATTATAGTACATACATAACGATATGCAATGGTATAGATATACATACATATAAATGACGGCCTCGGTGGTCTAGCAGTTTAGCACACTGCCTTACTTCTGATGGTCGCGGGTTCGATTCCTCGCACGGCACAAACATTTGTATTATTCATGCGTATGATTGTTTGTATCGGTCTGGATGTTTTCTATGTGTAATATGTTTGTATTTACGAAAAATATATAGATCTATGTATTTGTAATATTTATCTAGTAGGTACCTTGGCACTAAATAGCGCTGTATGAATTGTCCTGAGATTATTATTATAAATATATTGCAACACATGTATATTGATACATGATATTGATATAATAAAATTGTGTGACTAGTAAATACATACAGGAATATATATGTTCTATGCTTTCTGTGAATCTTGATTGTCATAGTTCTTAGATAAAAATAGACAGAAAAAGTTTGAGTGATTTTCGATTTTGATAAAATCAGTGTTTATAGCTTTAGCGAAACTCAATCTAACGGTTTTAGGTGATGTAAATTTTGTCCTAGTCTCAAATTTCCGTTTAAGTTGCCGGTTGAACATTTCTGACATTCCTGCACGAGAACAAACAACCGTAGTGGTTATTTACTCAGCGGAACTATTCTTTTTCTGACGTATTATCTCTTCGTGGGATTCTATGCATCGAACGGGATAATTATTAATAAATAAATAACCCTGGACAATTAACGCAGCGCCATCTAGTCCGATGGTAAACAGAGCTTGTGTACTAGACACCTGATACAAATACCTAGATTTTTTTTCTAAATACATACATATCGTACATAGAAAAGCCCAGACCAATACAAACAATGTCAACTCATGAATACAAATGTTTCCACCGTGCGGGGAATCAAACCCGCGACCATCGGAAGTAAACCGGTATGCTAAACCGTTAAATCACCAAAGCCATTATGCCGAGGACGTCATATTAATGTAATAAAAAAACAGTACATTCTCAACAGCGGCAACAAAATGTTATTAAAATCTTACTAATATTATAAACGCGACAGTTTATGAGTATGGATGGATGTTTGTTACTCGTTTATGCAAAAACTACTGAACGGATTTTGATGTAACTTTAGAGTAATATAGCTTATACGTCATAGTCAATAACACATAGGCTATAAATTTAATGCGCGAGAAACCGCGGGCACAGGTAGTAAGTAATAAATTAATCTTATATATTCACAGTACGCAGTCGGCTTCTTCAGTTTTCTCCTACTGTTGATCTGCAACAAAGGCACAGCTAATTTCCGTGCTTCTCTGGTCCCGGTGCACGCTGCCTTTGGTATTCTGACCTTCGTGCTTGGTGTTGCGGCCTGCCTCACTGGCCTTACAGAGAAGGCGCTCTTCGATATTGGGTACGTATATTTTAAATACTTAGAAACTCTGAAGTCAATGTTTAGTTTGTGTATGTCACTCAGATTCCACGTTTCCATTATATGTGATCGGATATTAAAGCTATCAGTTGCATACGATCAATTCTTCAATTACAAATATACAAATACTGTAATAATACAATATACAGGTAGAACTAAATATCTGGTGCAGAGTTCAAACTTTAGTCAGCATACTTGGCAGTTTAGGTAAGTTTAAGTTATGCATGATGCACGCGTCTCAAATTAGGTACGCGGTATTAATATTTAAACAAGTGTATTCACAATATTTAGGTATTTATAGTATTTATAATACATACTAGTGATGTCAATGTTATACTAAGATTGAACTCTGTACGTAGTCAGTTAGTAATATAGCATCTATGCACTAAATATCATCGCATGAATTGCAATCTTTTGTTCTTGTTTACGCTACCTATTGCTTGTTTTGTGGCAGTTTTTTGTATATGTACGTATTACAACAGTGAAAGGTATCCCGCGCTGGTGGATGAGGCTGTAATTATCAACACGATTGGGGTCACTATGATCGCGATATTGGCCGTGGTCATGTACATCCTATCGAGAGACAAGTTTCGTGCGCCTGAAACGCGAGATGGACACATAAGAGCTTCAGTTGATCTGTAGATTTAAAAATATTTAATAGTCATTGGATTCGTAAGATATATTTTTGTTTACAAGACAGAATTATGTAAATTTAGCCATTTAATAGTACATATGAGAACGAATTAATTAAAATAGAGCTTCAATTTCAATTTGCAATAAAAGCGAAAATAAGATAGTTAATATAAGCATAAACTAAAGTATGATCAAGTAAAAGAGATGAATTGAGCAGTCTGATTCAGATAGCCATACATTAACAATGCGTACCTACATTTAAGTACCTCCTTAATTTTCTGCATTTTAAATTGTAAAACCACCAAAACGAATCGTCTCTTTGATAAGCCGTTTTAGAAGAGTATTTCGTGTAGGCAGTACTGAGTAATTTCTACTCCAATATAACATGATACAATAGTAATAGAGGTCCATCAGTTATATTGTATTAGTTCATTGTATCATTTATACTTTTCCTAAGAGGCATTTTTAAGGAACTAAAATAAACTAATGGAACAGGTAGTCCATAGTTTTGTTTTTTTTTTTTCAATTAACAAATTATTTCAATTCAGTCCTTTAGGCCGGATTTCAAATAGTAGGCATCAGTCAGGCATGAACAGCTAAATATCACAAAATACTCTTTTATAAACGATTCGAATTATTGTTACAATGATATACTACGAGGTTCATTGCTGTCTCTTGCTATTGCTACAAAAATTCGTTCATCGAAACCAACATTTTCTTTAATTTCCTATGCATTTATTTTAATTGCAACGTTTGAATAATTTGACTATGATAATTCAGAATAATCGGTAGTGGTTCATATTATTTTTTAATTGGAAAATTATACAGATGTTGCGAGTATGTATGTGTCCAGTCTGTTATACCTACTCATTTTTAGATATTTAAATTAAGAACATATATAGAAAAGAAGAGTCAATGAGTAGTGCTTATTTCCATCTAGTACTATATTTCAATTTTACTGGAGGCTTTTAAGTGTTATAGAAGTATAATCTTAAATAATCATATAAGATTTATATTATCTAGAGATGAGGCTATCTACATCTTTTACAAGATTAATGGTCTGTATCAGACCTAGTTAGATGTAATTTTAAATTTTAGGTAGGTTTAAAATAAATATAGATCTTACTAATTCTTAATGAATATTATTACTGTGTTAGACATATTTTATACAAATAGAATAAAAGAAAATAATTATATTGTTGAATTAAAATAAAATAATTTTATTGTATATTTGAGTTTTAATCTGTTTAATGCATGTGTGATAATGTGCATATTGTATACCATGTTCATGTTCATTTATCAGCTTGTATGCATGTTTTAAGGAATAGAGGGATGTTATACCATGTGCGCTGTAGCATAGTGCGGGTGACAGTTTCAGTAACGTTTCATTTTACTCTTGAAAGTTGCCGCCACAGTTGAAAATTTAAATAATTATGACTTAGTATTTTAGCTGTACCATATTCGTGAAATATTATTAATAATTGACTGTAATAACTTAAATTTAACCCAACCATAGTGTTCTAGTGTACTAATAAAGGTAACTGTCACCCGCACCATGCTACAGCACACATAGTGTGTAGTAGTGTTTTGTATAATTCACTATAATCATTCATTTGAACTTGACTTGTTTTTGAGCTTAAAATGTTTTATGTTAGTGGTGGTTTGTTCTTCTCTATTTTAAATAATATTGTATTTTCCTATTTTAAGTTTTTGTATTCGCATTTAACATTAATATTGAGTTGTAAGGTAAGTGGAAGTTACGTAGATATAAAATAATTTTAAGTCTCTATTATTTTTTGCATAAATGTTTCAGATATCTATTCTGACATTAGTATTACAGCAAATTAAACCTTAACATACGCTTTAATTTTACGATTACTATCTACGCTTCTATTAAAAATCTGTCGTTAAATTAATGTTTTTGTTTTGTACATATTTATTAAGAGGACTGGATTACTTGTAAAAATTAAAAGAAAAACAAATGACTCCGAATAACACAGCATTCTACACATATCTCTCTAATATCAAATTATAATTAAAAAATACTAATAAGTAGTTTTTAAATTAATTACTTATTACGTATTATTACGTAGGTATGGCAAAGAGTAAGTCTTTCTAAGATCTTTGTTTTATTTTTACAAGTAATACTTCTTAAAAGTATTGCCAGTTATATAAATACCCACTTAAAATATACAGCATATTTAACATATTCTAGATTGGCATTGCTTAGTGTTAGGGAATGTAGTTCTTTTATATGATACATATTAATATTGATACTAACCCTGGGGCATGCGGTGTGCAGGGCAGAGAAATACTCGTCGATGACCGAGGAGTCCATCGTGGTGAACGCCATTGGCATGTCGATTGTGGCCGTCGCTGTGGTGGTGATGTTCACGGTCCGCGGGACCGGCGGCTACCGTCTACGCAAGGTCGCTGCCCAGCACCCGAGCTAAACTTTTAACAGTCAACGACTTCACCATAGCAATAACAGTTCGATGACAAACCAGGCTCGTATTTTATCAAATTAGGTATTATTTTACAAAAGTCCATTTCACTGTTTAATGCATTTATATTATTTTGTTTGAGTCGCGATTTCATCGCTGAACAGTCAACAGTAGGCTTCCAAGCTAAATCCAAACTCTATTCAATACTTGATAATGCCTCGTTCTGAGGCTGTGTCGCAATATGGGTGTCAACTCAATAATGGTCGGAATTTAATTGCTATTAGAGAATGTCATAACGGAAGTCAAGCTACCGCATTCAATATTTGTGATCTCACACATTGTAGCCGAATTAAACAAAATAATATAAATGTATTAAGTGAACCAGGCTCACTAGATCCATAATGCATTTTTTTTTGGGAATTTGGTAGTTCGTTTTGTGACTGGAATATACATGTATAGTTCATTAACGATACATTAGGATGTTATTATGGTTATATTAAGGTAATTTTTTTCTTTACAACAATTTATTACCTTAACATATCCGTATTACATCCGATCATTCATATTTTGTAGAAACACATCGAAACCATGAAGTTTCTCGTTGAATGTACTATTATTACCTATATGATATACATTATTGTTTAAAAACATATAGGTATGTACAGTTGCCAAATTAAGTATACTATACTTAATAAATACAGTGCATGCAATGATTTCTGTAAACTTTAATTTTATTAAGGGAAGAAGTGTCTCCATATACCATTAAAATAAGTCGTGAAAATTTCTTATAACTCTCTTTTAATATGAGCGGTGGTTTGTCTCGTAACAGAACGTCGTGTAACAACTTTTAAACGAGTTAAGTACCTTCGATTTTATGCTTACGGTAAGTATAAATATGTAAGAACACCATGACTAAGTATAATTTCTAAATAAGCATAAATTCGAATGGTATCTTCCATTTTTTTATTTATAAGTGATGAGATTTCATGAACGAATGAATGAATTGAAAAGACATCGTTAAATATCGTGGAACTCAATTATTCTGATGGTGTTGAGAAGCAAATTCAATTATAGAGAAATTTTATTGGTTATTATAACATTGTTTAGCTCAATTTGTTAACTTTAAGTTATTACAAATTTTATCTCGGTGACATTGTAGGATTGCCATTGCGGTTGTGCATTGTTCCATTTTGAAAATTTTAGATAGCTATATTTCATTCCGTCTAACCTTTGTTTCCCTTTACCTAAATTCGAATCTGACATTTTTAATTTGTTAAACGATCAGTCATGATAATTTTTATTCTTATATTAAAAATGTCAAATTCCAATAGGATTTTGGAAGTTGCTAGTAGTCAAAAATTATTCGACTGATATACTGAATGAACGGTATATTTTATAAATTTGCTTTTTTTAAATGCAGTTTGCGTGAATATAATGGTTATTACGTAGGTTAGTAGTAACGAAGGGGATTGATATTGATTCAATTGAATTGGATATGAAAGTGTAACATTTCAAGATCAATAATTGATTAATATAAAATTAGTCAACAATGAAATCATTCATTTGCATTTCACCACCTACTGTACTGCGGTAAATTAGTTAGCAGTAGTGTTAGATCTGTAATTCGCCGTGTAAGTAAGGTATGATGTCGGTGTGTGTAATGTTTGTAATTACATACCTACAAAAGAGCCAACAGATCGCAACAGATACCTTAAATTATTGTCAGTTTCAAACGAATATTCAGAGGCCATACACATTTTAGATACCCATCGAATTTTGGTATCAACCCTAATGTAGGTTTTAGTTAAGCCAACTTAGATATAACTTGTATATAATTTTTAATCTAATTAATGTAACGTGCGAGTGTTCGATAGATGTAGAATGTGATGGGTTGTAGTGTAAAACCATTTAAATATTTATTGGTGAGTACGAAATCGTATCGAATGTATAACATAACTTGAACTCTATTTGCAATAAATTATTTAAAAGTTTTTGTTAGACATTATAACTTAGTCTCTATTATAACTAAATAAGAAGTATAATAAAACTGTTACAGAGCGAGTCGAGCCTCTTTAAATTAGGGTTTCGAACATATTAATGGCTTACATTAAATTACCTAGCTAGACATCATAACAACCTGTATAAGAAAAAATGTTTAAACTTTAAACATTTGTTTTTGATCAAAACTTACAAATTAGTCTACCTACATTATGAATTGGTGTTTTCAGTACTTGTTAATTAAGTACATTATGTATGGTACATGTATATGGGACATAATACATAAAGGAATAAAGTCTCTAACTCTGACTGGACAGATAGACAGCAGTACTACAGTATTAAGGCTCATTAAAGGAGGACAAGAATCCTGTATGTGTTTGAGTATATAAGTAAATGTCTGTCAGGTTAGAGTGACGTCTTCATATTAAGATAATAGGCTACAGTGTATTTATATGAAGTGTTCATCTCAGTTGCCAAATTCGATGTAAAGTCAATGGTCATGTTTGTTATAATCAATTATTACTATGTATTATTACGTACATACATGCATGTTTATCAATAATTATAGGATAATGCTCAAGGTATTTAATTTTATAAGAGGATTAATATCCATTTTATTTCATTATGTAGTGCGTCATGTTTTCTATTAATTAAGATTTATAAAAACAAAACATGTGTTTTTGTAAATTTGCATTCCAAGGAAGCATTAAATGATTTTCAAACATTTTTCATGAGAATATACAATCCGTTAAGACTGCATTCATTCATAAGTAGGTCCTTTTATATCGTAACTACAGGATTTGTAATGATTTTTGCGAGAGTATTTACAAATTTTAAATATTCCAGTTTTTGTGGATCCCTTTGTAATATTGGGGCCAACTTTTTATATTATTATAGATTTCCCGATTGTACAGCGGTAACAGATTTAAATTTCGTCTTATTAGTGTCGACCACTATTTACTAAATTATAAACAGTGTAATTTGTTTGTGAAATACACCAAGAGATTATTATAGTACCTGCTTATTGATGTTATATTTAAGAGTATTTACATATGTTATTTTCAGTTAGGTATACAAGTGAGTTGCAATTAGACATACATACCTACCTACGTGAGATTACAAATTGTAAATTTCTTTATATATTCGCTGTAAGTTATAATTATCATTGAAATATAATTTGAATTGCGTTGACTGCAGTTGTGGTATTGGTTAATATGAATTTTATCACTGTTTTAAATTTTGAAATATTTATACGGCATTCATATGGTACATTAAATACTTGTATTAAATTAAATGTTGTTTGTATTATTTATTTCCCTAATATAAGAACCTCCTATTCTTACCAAGAACTTATATCCACCAATACACACACACACAATAGTAATTTTATAAGAATCGCGTGGAGGTTAACTCGACATGGTAAATTGTTAGCAATCAGCATTACTACCAATCATGTTCCCTCTGTTGTGAAACTATTGCTGCTGTAATTTATACTATATCCCTAGTAACATATCTATTTTCTCATGCTTTCTGGGATATTTGTAGGCACTCGTAGAGCCGTCTCCCTGGATGACAGCTACTACGGAGAGCGTAACTCCTGAATGAGTCGAAAATAGAGATCCTAATTATTAATAGTTCCAAAAAAAAAAAGAAAATACGGTTATTCAAATTGAATTAACTGTTAAATATTAATCCAATTTTATGGTTATAAAAATGTATTTTTAAATTGCCAGTCTAATTTACACGTTAAAATAGATACGTTATAAATCATACTTCGTAAAGAAAACGAACAGCAGTGATAGGCAATATTTTCAGATCATAAAATGATTTAAAGATATTCTAATACCGAACCATGTTATACTCTACTAATACACGTAAGTACTACTTGTACAAATTTTTTTATACAAAATACTAACAGAGACTGTAAATTTTGTAAGATGGTGTATGTTCAATCTCTATATATGTATATGAAAGATTCAATTGTGAGCAATAATAGAATGATAAATGGTGACAGAACATTTTTATTAATATTTATATATTTGACAACTTTCATAATCTTATTACAGTAAATGGTTTTCGCAAGAAAGACCATATAAGTAGATCTAAGCGACATTGATTACAGAAAACTGGAATGAAGAGAACAACATGCAAGTGAAATAATTCTACATTCGATAACCTGATTGTCTTACTTATATTTTAACAGTACAGTCAACCATAATAACTTAGGTCCATTAAGTAAGCTTTCCCTAATACGTGTGAACAAACATAGGGTATACAACCAACATCCAACTTATATCAAATTAGAACACATACTATAGTTACTTAAAAGTGTTTACATGTTGTAAGTTGATTAAGGTAAGTATGTTAATAAAAATTCATGATGCAAAAGAAACTTAGTAAAGATACGTGACTCTGTATCATCAATCCCGAACCCTATGAATTCCCATGCACGATAGATAAGGGACAAGAAATTTCCTTAAGGGTAAATACTTCAAAAGTAAACAAATTTTCATTAATATAGTCACTGTACCGTCACCTACTAGTTGCTATATTTTCGATATTCTTATAATGTTGTTTGTTTTGTTGCAGTGTTTCTTAAGAAAGTTCAAATATGAAATAACCGCAATATTTATCTCAACTGCTAAACAATACAGTATATTATAATAATATATAAAAATATACAATGAGATAAAGTTCAAAATATCGACGTGTCTCCCTTCAAGTATAAAAATAAAAACAATACGATAAATTACCACAATTACGAAACTACAAAAATTTGGCTGCCATTTTGAGCACAATCCAAAAGTAAATTGAGAGTATTAGTAATTAACATCTATACAATATCAAATTAGGCGTAACAATGTAAATATTTAATTTCATCATAAAATTTTAAAATATGAAGTATTATTAACAATTTCAATAAGTACATTTTCAATTTTACTGACTATTGTAAGTCATAACAATGCCTGGGCAAAAATAATAGCTAATCAATAAATATATAAAAAAATTAAGTATACACAGTTTATGACCGATGTGATATACATAGGATTTACGTACAATGAAAACTTACAATTGATTTTCATTTAATAATTAATATTTATATTTGTGATTCAATTTATGATATATTTTAGTGGAGGACATTGTTAAACTTAAATGCTATAGTAGTCGTTGATTTTTTGGCCGAAAGTGTTTTAAAAAAATAAACAATTTTTGACAAAGACCTTTACTGTACGTAATTTTCCGGATATAGGCTATGAGAGAATAGCAGATACAAAGAACTTACTTACCCCTTTGAGTTAATAACCATTTTGTCTTAAAGTAGCTTTATTTTATTATAACTAGAAATTGTTACAAATTACTCTTTGAGACAAATAAATACTATTATTATTATTACCAAGACGCTTTACTTTTACATGTATAATAACTACACACCCTGAAACTTTGGTCACTAAGTAAGTAATATTTGAACAAGAAATTGTACTACGATACATCGGAATTTGATGAAGTTTATACATATTACAGTTACAGATTTTGAGATACAGTTACACCGTTAAATATGTCTAAAATTTATACGGCTATAAATTGGGGCTTCTAACGATACGCAATAGTGAACAAAAAATAATTACTGATATATACAGTGTTAGTCGTAAAGTTAAACCAAGCTATGCATACTATTTATTCATAATATTATAATTAATTCTTGATACAGTATTACAATTTTTAGGGTAAATTGTAAATACATTACGTAACTCTCGGTATATCCCTTACGACTAACCATATTTTAATTTAGCATTATTTCCGAACTATTGTAATGACATTGGCTATGGCTGGATTTTACAACTTTACCGGGAAAAAAATGTTATGAGGCTCTTCAAATCTCGGAAGTACTTATGGACCGACTGAAGGCCATAGATTATATCTGATTTTATTTAGTATGCCTATAAGTAATAGGCATCCACACTGACTTGCTCATTTTTGCTTTAAAAATAAATAGAGCTGTATGAGTTCTCAAGCTCTATTTATTCATATATTTTTATATCGTGAATCAACTTACAATATGACTCAATATAACGAAATATATTATTTTTAGTTTTTCATATATTTTGAAAATAGTGCATATTAGAAGTATATGATAATACGATTATTAACAATAACAATTATTTGTAAGTTGGAAGCATATTCGCTCATTTTTTTAAATTTTAATATGGTTTGATTTTAATATATCGATTTTTGTTTTACAAAAATGTTTGTACATTGAATCAAGAACTCTGCGGTTTTTTACGTGTATAGATATACATGTAGGAAATTTAAAACTTATATAAACTATCGCGCACGGATATCTTTGTGATTGTTTTAGTTTAGACAGTCATTATCAGCATGATTTTATAATTTTAACTTAATAGATAACACCCACATCTAAAGTAACATATGAACAGCAGACATACTTAAATGCAAAATATTCTTTATGGAAATATAACGGAATTATTTAATTGAATAATGTAATACGGAGGATTCATTATGAATTTAAATAAAACTGGTGATAAATATTGAAACAATCATTTGAAAAACTGTATGCCTATGTAATATGAAAAACTACTATATTCGTGCGAGTCGTAATTTGAATTGTAAAAATATTATCTCTGTATTATTAAGTTCACAATAACAATAACGTAACATGGGATTATAGTATATTTGTAATATTGACTTAATTCCTATAATCCGTAAAGTCAGCTACTGAGTTCTATAATATTCATAAGAATAGGATATATTCTTTTAATGCTGTTGTAGAGCTAATAAATTTTTATCTATATTAAATATTATTTCATCTATGTATGTTGACAAAAATAGCGACATCTTTTAAAAACTATTAATTTGTAAGTTTATATTTTGCTATATTTCATATTTAGAATTAGAATTGTAAATATTTATTTCTTAATTTAGTAGATCTAAAAATTAGGCCCAATTATTTTTATGCTGTAAAAATAAGCACATATATTGAATTATCATACAGAACATCGTATAATAATTGACTGTGGGGTTTGAGACTAGGAGTGAAATTTGAAATGATATAAATCTTTGGTTATATAAATGGCATTAACGTGACGCAACTTATTCTACAAATATAAGAATTAAACTTTTACATTACTTAGAATAACAATTGCAAAATTACTGGAAAATTTACCATAAAAATTTAAGAAATAAGAAATGAGAATATTGAAAAATTATGAAGACTTTTTTTTTAATTTCCTGGATAATAAATGTTGTGACAGATAGAATAATTCGTTGTCTACAGCACTAATACGTATCTATAATAATATTTAAGAAATACCTGAATAAATGCTTCGAATTGTGCGAATACTTATACCTATATACCATAACACAGAAAGATCGTTTAGTAACAAGCAAATCTATTTTTAGTTCAGTATTATAGTATACAATTAACGTTCGATTTAAATGGAAATTCATATCTATTGAATAGAGAATTGAGACCTTTCCGAACACACATCACATGACATACACGCATAATATTATTCCGTACCTCTACCATGAGTATATATAGACATGGTTATAATCATATAGCTGCCAACCATATGACTTGAAAACGGTCTTTAAAGCATTTGCATTTTCACCACAAAAGAATCAAACCGAAACTCATGGTAGGTAGGTAGGTACGCTGAACATCATAAAAGGTGGTACACCGTCTACACAGCCAATATTAGATATAGTATCTACTTCCACAGTCCTATAGCAGCACGCGTTACATCTTCCCATACGACTATGCACTAGCCGACATTTCACTCAAATTGCATCTACTGGCGTTCAAACCTTAGGCCTTGAAGTACTGTGGGAACTCGTTGGATATGGCGCGGACAAGAGCCTGGTCGTCTCGGCTGGCTTCCACCTCTTCGCAAAAGATACGCGCGAAACATCTTAGGAGATCTTGACGGCGATGCAGGTGGGCCCCATAGTCCGTGTTACGGATGATGCCCTGCAGTATCCTGAGGTATTGTTGACGTCGCTGAAATTGTATTTATAAATAATACATAAATAAACCTAGACAATTAACACAGCGCCATCTAGTCCCACGGTAAGCAGAGCATATGTTATGGGTACTATATTAGACAACTGGTATGAATACTTACACTTATACAAACATTATTGTAAATAAATTGGCTATTTAAAAAAAAAAGTAACCCAATTGAGTATCTTGCCAGTTCTTTTCCACTGGATCTATATACAAAACGGTTGGGAAAATTTTAAAATATAAAAAAAATTACGTTGATAAGCGGCTTAAATGTTCTACATGAATAAATGATTTTTTAATTTGAACTTGGATACTTTGTTTTTGTAAATACATACATAATATACATAGAAAACACCCAGACTGATACAAACAATCATACTCATGAATACAAATGTTTGCACCGTGCGAGTGTAGTGGAGTGGAAATATTCTTTTGTTATAAATTTTTGCAAATGGCATTCTTATATAAACGCGATTTTGTTTAAAATTCTAAATAAGTTATTTACATTGATTGTAGTTTACCGTTTATAAGAATAAATCTATATTTGAATGCTTACTTCATGACAAAGTATAGTCAATAAAAAATATATCTTGAAAACTATATATACCGTGTCTCCAGGCGATAAGTCAGCTAGTTGCCTGACAATGATGTCGATAGCCACGTTGACATCATTGGTGTAGAAATGGTTGGCGGTCTTCTTGCGGCTGAACAGATCTATGACGAGCTTGAGCACTGAATGTGGCGGCGCGGGCTCGTGGTCGAAAAGGTGTACTGGGTCTTCTGTTTACAACAGCACATTTGCTTTATATTACATTAAATATTTATAGTATGGTTGTACTAGTTGTCTCGTTCATTGATTAAACAGCAATTGTAAATGAAATAGAATATGTTACATATTACATTGTTATATATGTTACAAATACAATTTAAATTTTTGTTCTAAAAATAGTTTTTCTATTTTAATGTTGTATTAGTATAAAATAAATAAGATAATAAAAATAATATTGATCATGTCATACAATTTTATATTAAACATCTATGATACTAAAACATATTCAAATTTCCACCCTTTTGCAAATTCTAATCAATCAATCAATAATTTTCTTAGAATATGTAGATATAATAATAAAAAATTTCTATTGTAACACTAATGTTACAAAAACACAATTTTCTTTATAGAATTTCCATTCATAATTATAGTGACTAAAATATGTAACAATTACCTTCTCGATTAAGAATTAAAAGGATCTTTTCACAAAATGTTTTAGCATTGTCTCTGGTTTCTAATGCGTTGAGTAGAAGGTTGTCCATTACACTTTCAAATTGCAAATTGTAAGCAAGTAGGAGAGTCAAGAATAGATCAGGAATTTGTTCATCCACATCCGTCTCTGGTGGGTCTTCAATTAACTCCAAGAGGAATTGTGCAAATTCGACCCCTAGTTGTTCTGAAAATAGTTTGTCAATCAACTTAAGGTTTTATCATAAAAAGATTACACAATCTTGAAGATTCTCAAATAAACTCAAGACTTAATTAAAATCTTAGAAATACAATAAAGCTAATATAATTTAATGGTCAGTTTACTCTATTAGCGCCATCTATTGGAGGTAATAAAATAGTGCACAGTGCGTAGATGAACTCAATGGGATGTAAAATATTCACAAAGATTAATGTACGAATTTGTTAAAATTCGATTAAAAATAATCTAAGAAAAAGAAAGACGATAATTAATTCAATATTAGAATTTTAATTCTCAACCATCTTTAAGTGTATGGTAATCTTACCGAAGTGTGTAACTGGCAATTTGTCGCCCATAGACAAGACCATAGACAGCAGTAGTGCCGAGTGTGACAGGCGGCTGACGGCGCGAGGATTGTCTCGCATGTCTCGAGCTATCTCTGCAGGTAGGGCTGACAGTGCCAGAGTAGCAAGTGCTGTACGTTCTAATCCGCACATGACACCGAATGCCTGAAATAAAATATTTATTAATTATATTATTTACAATCTATAAAAAATTGTTTGCATGGGTACCTCAGTCTTATCAATTTCATTTGGTGGATCTGTAAAGGTTAGTTGCGACCAACAGTATTAGAATAGTTGTTAAAACAATAACTTATTTCAGCTGTTAAGTAACATACCAAATCTACGTTATAAGTTTCACTACTAGTAAGGATACAAAACACATACTGCTATTTCTGTATTATATCACTGTTGTGTTGTCAACAATATTACTGTATTATACATCTATACATATAAATAAAATTGGAGTGTCTGTTTGTAATATTGAAATTACCATATTTTACTACATGCATATGAATATAAATACGGTACATACACTAAAATAATATTTTTTACAATTTTTTATATATAATATATATAAGTATGATTACAAAAATCATGTGTATTTTGACTTATTTCTAATATTCTGTATGCCATTGAATTGTTTACCTGTAATAGTAGTTGCCTTAGAGGCCATCTCGTTTCCATCTGGTAGTATTGCACCAATGTAGTCACATAAGCGTAGCGGTGGCTGCTGAGGACATGCTGCGAGATATTCACATCAGCATTGGACTGTAAGATATAAAATCAGTTTTCTTTAGAGCTGAAGATGGTAAACTTAAAAGAGATCTTGTATTCCTATGCCTATATACAGAGCCTCGGTGGTATGCTAAATCGTTAGAGTATAGCCTTAGTTGCGAGGGTCGTGGGTACGATTTCCCAAATAATAAAAATATTCGTATTCATGGGTATGATTGATTCTAGGTGCTTTCTATATAAGTATATATTATATATGTATTTACAAGAAGAATGTATGTTTATGTATGTATATTAATTGTCTAGGACCGCTGGCGCTGTGTGATTTGTCCAGAGATACTATTATTATTATTCTAATTATGCAACTAAATAAAAATAACATCAATATTATATTACTTTAGTGGGCATAAAGAACAAATGCAAAAGGGAGAAGGCGATTGTAAGTAATGTGGACTAATGATCCCATTTCCAGCAATGTAGCAAGTCAGCTTGACCTCCACGCGGTTCCGATTGGAAACCATCGAGATCAATTCCCGGTAAAATTGTCACAATGGGCTAAGTGAAGCGGTTGGTGCACCCGCCTAAGAACCAGTTTATGGTTAGCTTAGGCGGGTGCACCATTTCATTATCATCTAATAAAAACAAACAAATGCAAATAGAAAACACAACACGGTATACACAATCTATTACAGAAAAACTGGAATTTAAAATGTTCCATACCATAACAGAAATTAGTTCAAGCAGTTGTGTTTGTATATCATGAGCATCATCATGCAGTGCCCATCCTCTTTGCTGGGCGTCATTGGCAGCTTTGGACAGAGCGTTTAGGGCTGTCATCATTCTGAGCGCGTCTGGAGCCGCATCAATAGCATTCTTCGGACATGTAATGTTGCTGTTCGCTTCTCGGAGAAGGGCATCAATTATTGACCGGGCAGCTCCACCAGGAAGAAATTCCTGATCAACAAAAGAGTATATAGATATATAATTAGATTAAGATTGTTCTCTCATTTCATTTTATATAAACTTTAAAATCTTTACATAGTATAAAATGAACCACCATGTCTGTTCTCTTATATTTTTTAGATTATGCAATGGATTTTAATGCAGATTTCAGCAATAGATAGAGTGATTCGCGTGATCGATAGAGAAAGGTTCATAAGTATAATACATGCATGTTATAATATAGAACAAGCAGAGAAATTAAAAGATTTATAATGCATCTGAGTGATGTAAAGACAAGTCACTATTTATTATTAAATAAGTAAATTAGTAATCTGTCAAATAACATAATATTTTAAGATATCACTAAATATCAGAAAGAATATCCCATACTTGTGGGTAATATTCATGGGTAAGAACTTTGAGAATGACGTATGACTATGAATAAAAAATGATTTCTTAATAGACAAGATTTAATATTGTCACAATTTCATTTTCAAAACTATTATTATAGCCTATGTGTTATTAAAGTTCCATTAAAATCTAATCGGTAGCACTGTTATGTAAAATCTTACCCTCAAAGAAATCAGCACAGTTTCAACAGCAACTTTAGACATTTCATGGCTGAGTTGTGTCTCTTTTCGTACAGCCTGCACTATCTCATATATAGCATTTGGTTTAATACTTCTGCTGCTGTCTTGACTATCATCCTGATCATCAGTATCAGATGACAATTGATTAGAACCTGTCTTGACGACTGTTCCTTTCATTCTTCCATCATCAACATCTATAAATTTACAAATGTGTATTTAAAAATAAAAAGTTTGTACATTAAAGCATATTACTATGTAACTCCATTACTACTACTGAATTTATATTATGATGTACAAAGCTGTGTGTAACTTTGTTACAGTATAATATAGAAATAGTTATTATAAAAATTGTGTGATTAAATTATTTTTTTAGGCAGCTAGATAAAAGGGTTTTATTCCATAAAAACAATTAATCAATTATCCTTAAATCAGTGAATAAAATCAATGTGTAGATAATAATTTGTAATAATAATTGTTACCCTTCATACTTTTAGGTGGAGATTGGGATTCCCTTTCTTCCGATATTTGTTGTTGAGACACAACAGGTCGCAAATCAAAGGAGGGGGACACCCCATTAGGGGGTGTGCTGTCATCCAATCGTTGCGGTGGTTTTGGAGCTGGTGGTTTCTTGCTTTGTGGCTTTATAACTAATTGTATTAGCTTCTTCTTTTCATTCAGTTTATTTAATAACTCTTGTTTCTGAGATGACACTATATTATTTTCATTTGTATTTTTAATACAATCATTAATAAATGCCAAAAGGAATTCTGGCTCAACCTGTGGTTAAATAGAAATAAATTCAATTTAATTAATATTATTATTACATTTTGTTCAGACGAAAATAAACTGTAGAATTCAGAATTCAGATGTCCTTTTATTATGAAAGGTACATCATAACAGAGTGATATAGGCTACATATCATAATAAAATACACAAAACTCAATTATATAAGCACCCAGGCAAAGGCGGGGTGATTCAAATGTTGATCAGAACATAAAGATTAGTTTGATGATATGATGTTATGACAAATTTCCTTTTATATTTTTAGTAATGATATATTTTAGTCATAGATAATATACATTATTATCCTCATGCCTATGTCCTCATCATCGTCATCACCTTAAGATTAAAATAAAATTCTGTGCCAATATTGAGAATTTGATATAGAAATAAAATTATAAAAGCATGTGCATATAATTGCTGCTTTAATCATTATATAAAAGCAATATAATAGTTCTTTTGAGAATTGATTCCATTGTTTAAAAGGTACATTACTCCGGTGACATGGACTATATATTTTGAAATTAATTTATTTATGAATAAAGTGATAAATAACTTTGTTTCATTTTGTGTACATACAACAACCAGGTGTGGCCAGGGTAGTAGACATCATCATAAATGAAATGAATACATGACTTTTTAAATTTTTAATGTTTTAAATACATGATGCAGCACACACTAGTCAGCAATAAATTTTTAAGAACTATCCAAGCATATCTACTTACGAAGATGAAACAACACACTTATTTGTCATTATATCTGTACCTACATAGATAAATTTAATGAGTGTTAATTGTTAGAACTAGGATAATTGATGACAGTTAATACTGCAATATTAAAATGTTGATACCTGGCAATTTGTATAAAAGTGCATATTCATAACACACTACAGAGGACACTAGGTACTTCACATATGTAAATTTCAAAATCTAAAATCAAACTTACCTTGACTGAGGCCACATAATTTGAGGGAACGAATCCAATCAGACCTTTTCTATTTACAACATGCCACCAATTTCTTTGCTTGGTATTGTTTTGCTGAAGTAGGAAAAAATCCCCTTCGGAGAAACTCAAGGTCTTACTTAGAGTAGCCTCAAAATCATACATTGCTTTAAGCATTTCATAATCCTCTGAAATTAGAAATTGATGTAAATTCGTGGATCCAACACCCAAGTAAATAAGAATGCTAAAAAAACAAACCGATTTCAATCTGTCCGTCTCCCATGATTGATGTTGCAGAATATAGTATGGATAATTTTGGATAATATTATAGTTCACATTGGCTTAAAAATCTTAAAATTAAATTACAACAATGTTCGGGTAGCGTAAAAGCGAAACGACCGAAAACAAATCAATTTTTAAAAAACCTAAAATTACAGGAAATCAATGACAATGACGTGTGTCAGTTGTTCGATTTGACATTGACAAAGACATCCAGTTAGCTGTCAAAATGTAAACTGCGGCATAAAAATTTCGTTTTCACTATGCCATACATCATATGAAGTAACAATGAATACACATCGCAATAATATTTCTCTGCTTTAAAAGCAGCACCTCAATATTATTAACTTCAGTTTTATGCTCACAAAACTAAAAGTAAAGGACGATAAAAACGGTGGTCCATTATTATACACCATTAGCTAAATACACTACTGTGTAGCCTTCATGTATTCGTTTACGATTGCTTAATTATGTCATGAGATAGCTATACAGTATTATGTATCGGATTTTCAACGTGCCTTTCAAAAATGGGAAATAATTTTTACACCATTTCAGAAAGAAGTATGTTTATCTATTACGCCAATAAGAATTTAAAAAATAGTAACACAGAATAGCCGAACCTCGTATAAATATAATTGGTATTAATATTGCTAAGTTTTTTTAGTTCGACATATGTACCTATTTGCAAGCTATTGATTGCATATACATACATTTTAAGTCTTATAGAGACAAACAAACCTGCTTGAATTTATAAAAAAAAAAATATAGGGGCTGTGTCAACTTTTCTAGAAAGTAATTAGGTACGCTGTGAATATTGCTGGAGTATAATCATGGGAGAAAAATATTATTCAATAGATGTCTTTTTACTGTGCTGAAATTAAGTGGAATAAAATTAGAACGTGAAGGCAATTTAATTGATATTTATTTCTTACTATACCTACCTTATGCGATAAAGTATTATTTCACTTATTATGAAAACATTTCTTGTAATTTGTTAAAAAGTGTTATTTTCATACTATCATATTTTTTTGATAATTGCCTAAAATATCTAGACACGCGGTAGCGTGTCAAGCCGAGTTTCAAGTAAACTGGCAAGCAGCACCGTGTGTATATTTACACGAACCATTTGGAGCCACTTTTGACCTCCTCATAACTCAAAAACTCTTTCACAAAAACCTGTCAAATTTGGTTCATATATTGAGACTTGCGAGATAAATATGTGTTCCAAATTTCATAAACATATCTCAAACGGTTATTTAGATATTAATGTCCAAAAATCGTCATTTTTATCACTGATCAACTATAGATCAAAATTATAACCCACTTCCAGATGACCTAGGAAGTTCAAATTTGGCATGCAGATAGGTAATTAGGTGAATATAAAGGAAAAAATCTGAAACTGGTAAATTGTTATCATTTTACTACAATTTTTCACTTTAATTGATTCTATTTCAACTTATACTGGACGAATACTAAAATTCTATGAAAAGGTCGATAGCCACCAATTGACATTGATCCCTGGCGAAATATCTCATCTTGTACTGGACGGAAAGTAATATTGTATGAAAACGTGGATCATTACCAATTTACGTTGACCCCTTCACATCAGTGTCGATAACTAGGAGTATAGTCGAATTTCGTATTTATTATGTTATTAACTGAGATTTGGTATTAATTATTGTTTCAATATTTAGCGTACATCGATAGTGTAAAATCATTATTTTTATAAATAATTATTAAATGATATGCATATAGGGCGCCGCGGCGCCGTGTGGGTGCGGTGCGATAAAACGTTGAACTAACCTATAAGGTTGGTATTTATGCTACGAAATTCATAGTTTTCTTAAATTATACTTATATATTTGTAGTTATATTATTATTACATTATTTTAGTAAATACGTATGGTATAGACAATAGTTTAAACCAAAAATTTTAGTATAGTTATAAGTAGGAATGTATAGTTAACTCGAGAATGAGAACTCATTGGTAACAAATTGTTTTCTTGAGAATTCAGTAGATAATATTCAATTTGTTACATAATCGTCTTTACGAACTATAACGTGTCAATACCAAGTTTCAGATATTAAATAATGTATATGTTGACAGAGAACAATTCCGTATTTGCTTAACATATGCTATCCACAAATCACAAGGCCTTAGTTTTGACAGTCCTCTTCTCAACATAGGCTCCTCTATATTTAATAAAGGGCAGGTTTACGTTGGACTCTCCAGAGTTTGGACTCTCCAAACCTTAGATGGAGTACGTCTTAACAATTTAGATCCAAGTCACGAGAGCTCTATTGTAGAGTACAACCATCTGTGGACGTTATACCGCCCCGATTTGCCCAAAAATTCCTGATACTGAATTGGCATTGCACTTGAACATTTAAAAGTTACAAGAAAATATAGAAAATAACACAAAAAAAGACAATTGATGAATGATGAATAATTATCATAATTCATCATTCATTCATCATTCATCATTCATTCATCATTCATCATACATTCATTCATCATTCGACTGAGTGATGAATGACTATTCATCATTCATCAATAATTCTTTCATAATTCAGTCATTCATCATTCTTTCATCATTCAGTCATTGAATGATGAATGATGAATGATGAATGATTGAATGATGAATGATGAATGATGAAAGATGAATGATGAATGATGAATGATGAAAGATTGAATGATGAATGATGAATGAATGATGAATGATGAATGAATGATGAATGAATGATGAAAATGAATGAATGATGAATGATGAAAGATTGAATGATGAAATGATGAAAGATTGAATGATGAATGATGAATGAATGAGTAATTATGAATGAATGATGAATGATGAATGGTGAAAGAATGAATGACGAATGATAAATGATTTGATTGATTGATTTGATTAATTCATTATTCATCATTCAATCTTTCATCATTCATCATTCATCATTCATCATTCATCATTCATACATCATTTTCACATTCATCATTAATCATTCATCATTCAATTCATCATTCATTCATTCATCATTCATTCATAATTCATTCATCATTAATTCATCATTCATCATTCATCATTCATTCATCATTCATCATTCATTCATCATTCAATCTTTCATCATTCATCATTCATTCATTTTCATCATTCATTCATCATTCATCATTCAATCTTTCATCATTCAGTAATTCATCATTCATTCATCATTCATCAATAATTCTTAATGATGAATGACTGAATTATTTCAGTCATTCATCATTCATTCATTTTCATCATTCAATCTTTCATCATTCATTCATTTTCATCATTCAATCTTTCATCATTCATTCTTCATATGCTATCCACAAATCACAAGGCCTTAGTTTTGACAGTCCTCTTCTCAACATAGGCTCCTCTATATTTAATAAAGATGAATGACTGAATTATTTCAGTCATTATCATTCATTCATATTCATCATTCATCATTCAATCTTTCATCATTCAGTCATCATTCATCAATAATTCTTAATGATGAATGACTGAATTATTTCAGTCATTATCATTCTTTCATCATTCAATCTTTCATCATTCATTCATCATTCATCATTCAATCTTTCATCATTCATCATTCATCATTAGAACGTGAAGGCAATTTAATTGATATTTATTTCTTACTTACCTTACCTACCTTATGCGATAAAGTATTATTTCACTTATTATGAAAACATTTCTTGTAATTTGTGAAAAATGTGTTACTATCATATTTTTTTGATAATTGCCTAAAATATCTAGACACGCGGTAGCGTGTCAAGCCGAGTTTCAAGTAAACTGGCAAGCAGCACCGTGTGTATATTTACACGAACCATTTGGAGCCACTTTTGACCTCCTCATAACTCAAAAACTCTTTCACAAAAACCTGTCAAATTTGGTTCATATATTGAGACTTGCGAGATAAATATGTGTTCCAAATCATTTATCATTCATCATTCATTCTTTCATCATTCATTTTTTATTCATTCTTCATTGATCTTTCATTCTTTCTTTATTTCAATCATTCATCATTCATTCATTATTCATTCATCATTCATTCATCATTCATCATTCATTCTTTTCATCTCATTCATCATTCATCATTCATCATTCATCTTTCATTCATTCATCATTCTTTCATCATTCAATCATTCATCATTCATCATTTATCATTCATCATTCATCATTCATCATTCATCATTCATTCATCATTCATCATTCATTCATCATTCATCATTCATTCATCATTCATCATTCATTCATCATTCATCATTCATCATTCATTCATCATTCATCATTCATTCATCATTCATTCATCATTCATCATTCATTCATCATTCAGTCATTTATCATTCATTCATCATTCAATCTTTCATCATTCATCATTCATCATTAGAACGTGAAGGCAATTTAATTGATATTTATTTCTTACTATACCTACCGCGATAAAGTATTATTTCACTTATTATGAAAACATTTCTTGTAATTTGTTAAAAAGTGTTATTTTGATACTATCATATTTTTTTGATAATTGCCTAAAATATCTAGACACGCGGTAGCGTGTCAAGCCGAGTTTCAAGTAAACTGGCAAGCAGCACCGTGTGTATATTTACACGAACCATTTGGAGCCACTTTTGACCTCCTCATAACTCAAAAACTCTTTCACAAAAACCTGTCAAATTTGGTTCATATATTGAGACTTGCGAGATAAATATGTGTTCCAAATCATTTATCATTCATCATTCATTCTTTCATCATTCATCATTCATTCATAATACATCATTCATTCATCATTCAATCTTTCATCATTCATCATTCATTCATCATTCATTCATCATTCATTCATCATTCATTCATCATTCATTCATCATTCATCATCATTCATTCATCATTCATTCA